CAGGTTTCATTTTCTTCGTGATCTCACAAAAGAAGGTGTTGTTGAATTGATTCATTGCCAGAGTCAGGATCAAATTGCAAATATACTAACAAAGCCTTTGAAGCTTGAGACATTTGAGAAGCTGCGTGGTCTCTTTGGGGTTTGTTCAAGTTATGATGTAAACTGAATGTTTGTATGATATTCAGTTTAAGGGAAAGTGTTAGGATTTTTCAAGTATTTATGTTTTAGTTGAATTGGTCAAGTTAGTTGTCCCTAGGTGTTAGGGACGTGAGGTAGTGTTTGTTTATTTGTTATCCTAGTTTCTAGGGGAATCCCATCAGTCTAGATATTAGACGTGGGTTTGGTTTGCTGCTTAAGTTTCTGCTTTCAGTTTCTTTGTAAGGCTATATAAGCCCAGCTTTAGAGCTTTGATAAATAAGACGCACTTTTCCAATTATTGTTTCAATTACTCAAGCTTTAGTTTTCAACAGAGCATTCCCAAAATGATGGAAAGCACGGGGGCTCTGTCGTCAACAACATTATTATTAGTCAGAATACAATTTATGCTACCAATTCCAACAGGGTAGGAATTTCGCTTTCTACTTCTAGGAATGAGGTGGAAGCAATAAGGAATATGGTTTTGGTAAATACTGTCTTTACTTTTTTGGTTTTGGTCTGTAATATTTCGGTTTTGTTCTGTATTTTTTTGGTTTTGAAAGAAAAACCAAACGTCTGCGAAGACGACCTGAGGTGATCAAGTCTTTAGTGTAAGCCTCTTTTGTGTTAGCTTCTCCTAATGGAAATTGCCGTTGAATATAAAAAAGGAGGAACATCCCCGGATGCAAGATATTACTATAAATTTTCAGGTCTTTGAAGGTTTGAAAAGACCCTTAGATCCTTATGATTGTTTTAACGTCGAAGTTGTGGATCAAATTATAGGGAAGCCATTCATTGAATGAAGCCTCACAGATCCTATAGAGAATATTAATACTTTGACGGCACAAACAGTGGTGGACCTCGACTTTTTTTCCATCTTGGGGCATAAAAAACAATTTCATAACTGACTCCTACAAAATCTAGGTTTTTATAGCAATACGATATATATTATAACACATAATCGAAGTTGCAGCATATCAAGAGCATTAATTCTAAGCTCTTGATATGCTGCAAGGTGTTGTTAAGAGCAACATATCTTTGTAAAAAATGTGGAACTGAAAGATGAAGATCATTGCTTAACAATTTACAATAGAATATTACCGTACTAGTAAACAACCAAACGACACTCGATGAAGAGCAGGTAAGGAACAGCCACCATGACTCAAGTAGTTATGGTCATGAAACAGTGAACAATCGACTACTAGTCCAAAACAGCTAATTATTGAAATTGGTTGCGTCAGAGCAATAGTACTAGTATGTACTTCTGGTTAAACACATGTTGGTGCCTTTTATTTTAAGAATCATCTTGGCGTTTTTCTCTTACAATAACTAATAAATTATAAAAGGAATATTTATAACATTTCTGCATTAAAAATGTTCGAGGACTTGTTGGAGCAGAGCAGGGTTGTTTCTTGTTTGAGTGAGATTGAGAAAAGGCCTTCAAGGAGGCCCAGAAGTATTCTCAGCCCAAGGTGATCTGGTCCGGCAAGTCCGACAAGTACATAAAGATCCCAGCTTTTGAAGAATTGGAGGAGAGCCCAGACGCCAAGTTTTTGCATATATGCGCCAATGAAACCATCCACGGGGTTGAGTTCAAGACCTACCCAACTCCCAAAAATGGCCTCTTGATTGCTGATATGTCCTCAAATTTCTGCTCCAAGCCGGTGGATGTGTCCAAGTTTGGGATCATCTATGCGGGAGCCCAGAAAAACGTGGGCCCATCCGGAGTGAATCTGATTGGCAATGCTCAAGAGATCACACCTGTGATGCTGGACTTCAAGATTCATGATGAGAACAAGTCTCTGTACAACACACCACCTTGCTATGGCATTTACATGTGTGGGTTGGTGTTTGAGGACTTGCTGGAGCAGGGTGGTTTGGATGAGATTGAGAAGAAGAAAAAAGAAGGCTGTTCTTTTGTACAACGCCATTGCTGAGAGCAAAGGGTTTTACAGGTACCCAGCTGAGAAGTCTGTGAGGTCATTGATGAATGTGCCGTTTACTCTCGAGAAGCCGGAGTTGGAAGCTGAGTTTGTGAAGGAGGCAGCGAAAGAGAAGATTGTTCAGCTCAAGGGACATAGGTCAGTGGGAGGGATGAGGGCTTCAATTTATAATGCCATGCCTTTGGCTGGGGTTGAGAAGTTGGTTGCTTTCATGAAGGATTTCCAGGCAAAGCATGCTTAAGATTTAGTAGCATACATTACTGGTAGAGTTGTTAGCATCTTTGGTTTGTTGTGTTTGCTATATTTTTATTGTTGAATGTGAGTGGACAACAGCAAGAAGTTTGTCTGCATATGTTTATGAAATTCTTGTCGTGTGGGATGAAGTTAATGCCCTAACAAGTTTAGGAATTTAGACCAATATCCTCTGTTTAAAACTTTGTTGTCATGAGCTGAGAGTAATGAATAATTCAATTCTGGGCTCTTCTTTCATATCAAGTTAAACCTCTCTACTTCTTGAGGCAACTGTTCTGTATCCAAGTAGAAAAATCTTTGGGCAATGAATACTCATTCAAGGGCTTATTTTGATATCTTGTCTGATACTTATTTAGTCAAATAAAATTAGTATCATCTGCCTGCAAACCAGCAGATGGTGAAATGGAAAATGGACGGTCGGCCAACTCACAAATTGATTCACAACCATGGAACTCATCACTTCAATGGCAACGCGAACAAGAGTAACAGAGTCAAAGACACAACCAGCTGCCTGCTGAGGTTTTACGTCAAATATCAGTCACCTTTGCCAGTTCATCAACAATTTGAATTTCGGATATGCTCAATTCATACACGTTCTCTATAATTTACTACAACTTTCAAAAGGAATTTCCAAACAACTGAAATCAACCCAGCCAAAACAACCAATTGTTGGCTAAAATGTACAAAAATCTAGGCTTCTTGATACCTGTTGTTGGCCATGCAGCCGATTCTCACTCCAGCTCCTCAATTTCCTCCTGAGTTGAAACAAAAAACATGTATCAGAACAGACCTAAAGAATAGTAGTAATCAAGATGAGGGATTACATAGAAAAACAGAGAAATATGAGAGAGAGACAGAGAGAAAAAAAAAATAACCTTGGTTACAACAAGAATCCCATTTCGGCCCGGTATGCCTTAGAAAGCCCAGCCCATTGGCGAGCCCTTTGAACAATCTGCGTCTTTTCAACTTGGTAATTTACTTCTTCTGTTATGTAACAAGAAAAAAAAAATTGTCAATAAATAATTGATCTTTTTTTATGGTAAAATAATTGAGCTTTATATGTAGTAAATAGGTACCATGTAACAAAATAGCTATACATTTAAATAACTAAGTTTAAATACGTATGTAAATGGGTTGAAATAGAATATTTTGCGTTTCAATGTGGAGTTAAATACCTAAATATGAGGTACATGTAATACATTCGAACGTAGGTCAAAAACACAAGTAGAACCAAACTCATTTGAGCGTATATCATACCTACAACATAAAATGTGAAACACCGAAGAGCCAACATCGTAAACAAACAACCATCTTAACATTCTTACCTACTAAATGCAAGGCTACTCACTGGATTTACATCAAAAATAAAAAACGTGTTGGTTTTTCCTAATCGACCCCAGAACACTTGGGTTTCTATCTAATTTTATTTTCTTTTTAATGTAATCGCCCATTTGGGTAGGACAAGCTTGATGAGAATACAGTTCTGAGCAGTCATCGTCACGTCTGTAGAGCAGTTATCAAAAAATTTAATCTAAAAAAAATTGTTAAGAGTCCCCAAATTTCTTTAGGAACCCTCCTATCCACTAATCAATGTATGGAGCCGCAATCGCGTCTGTGTTCCAAAATGTCCCAAATGTATATATATATTGTTATATTAATAAAATATAAAAATAGATATACAAACCCATCATCACTGTACCCACCCCATCTCTCTCTCTCCTCTTCTCTTCTCCATCGCCTCAAAACACCAAGAAAAAAAGAGGAGATATTTAGTGATATATCCATTCTTAGCACTAATATTATAAATAAACCATATATCATTGAATTTCTATAAACAAACTCAAAAAAAAAAAACTCAAAAAATGACAGCTGACTCTATTGAATTTAAGTTTGATTATTACATTATTTTGATACTATATTGATTATTTTTGGGATTTTTTTATATGAGATTTTGGGATTGGAATTGTTTTAAAAAATTGATGGCAGTTTTGTAATTTAAAAGAAGTTTTATGAAACAAAAAATAGAGCTTTTTAATTTAAGCCAAATCCAACATTATCACCTACAAAATGGATGAAATGCAAAGCACCTACATAAATTGGGCTTTTTAATTTAAGCAAACCACCAGATGGTGAAATGCAAAATGAACCAGAGTAGCATAGTCAAAAGACACAACCACCTCCCTGCTGACGAGGCTTCCGCGTTCCTTCCAGGTTGCCAAGCTCAGCCCATTCATTGTGAGACGAAAAGTGTAACTTACTTCCCCATTCATGCACGCAAGAACAACACGTGGCTCCAAACATTTAAAACCACCGGTTAATTTATTTTTAAAGCAGCCTTTGACAGTTGCCTTCTCCCTGCTTTGAAAAAACGGCCGCCACTGACTGCAATTTAGAAAAAAATATGATTCTAGATGCTTTTTCATCCGCAGCTTCGGTGGCAGGGCACACGCGAGTAACTCTTAGATAGCTACCACGTGTCTTGCATTGTCATCCTCATTAGCTTTTCCATCTTTGTTGTATAAAAGGAGCATGGCTGCGTGGTGGCCTTACAGCAGTGAGGCAGAGAGAATATCCATTTCCTATTTTCAATTCTGCGTTTCTTTACCAGATCTAACAAAATCCTAAACCCTAAAACCCTAAACCCCGAGCACCCATCATCGTCCGACGCAGATCTAACAAAATCAAATGGCTGTAGTGTTGAAGCGGGGGAGAGTAAAGCGGCGGATTTTTGATTCGATTATGCTCAGGCGGAACCCATATGTATGGTTATTTGAAACCACGGGTGCAGCAGCCCCAAAATATGGCAATTGTGAATGTCAGAAGGTACTCGATATGATTCCTGTTCCTCCTCAACAGGCCTCCAGAGTGCATTCCCAAAATGATGGAAAGCACGGGGGTTCGATGAATCGGCGGCCTGTAGCGTTGCAGCGGGGGAGAGTAAAGCGGTGGATTTTTGAGTCCATTATAGACAAGTTTACAGGGGCTGCACCCAATAACTCCGACGATTTCAAGAGCTGTATGCTCAGGTGGAACCCATATGTATGGCTATTTGAAACCACGGCTGCAGCAGCCCCAAAATCTGGCAATTCTGAATGTCAGAAGGTAGATGATATGATTCCTGTTCCTCCTCAACAGGCCTCCAGAGAGCATGAGCATGATGGAAAGCACGGGGGCTCGATGAAGCGGGGGAGAGTAAAGCGGCAGATTTTGGAGTCGATTATGGAGAATTTTACAGGGGCTGTACCCAATAACTCCGACGATTTCAAGAGCTGTATGCTCAGGTGGAACCCATATGTATGGCTATTTGAAACCACGGCTGCAGCAGCCCCAGAATATGGCAATTCTGAATGTCAGGTGGTAGTTGATATGATTCCTGTTCCTCCTCAACAGGCCTCCAGAGAGCTTGAGCATTCCCAAAATGATGGAAAGCAGGGGGGCTCTGTCGTCAACAACATTACTATTAGTCACAATACAATCGTTGCTGCCAATTCCACCAAGGTAGGAATTTCGCTTTCTAATCCTACGAATGAGGTGAGAGAAATACGGAATCTGGTTTTGGTAAGTACTTGTTTGCTTTTGGTCTGTACTTGTTTGCTTTTGTTCAGTACTTTTTTGGTTTTGTTCAGTACTTTTTTGGTTTTGAAAGCAAAACAAAACGTCTGCAAAGACAACCAAGCGCGACGAACTGAGGTGATCAAGTGTTTAATGTAAACCTCTTTTGTGTTAGCTTCTCCTAATGGAAATTGCCATTGAATATAAAAAAGGAGGAACATCTCCGGATGCAAGATACTACTATAAGTCTTTGAAGGTTTGAAAAGCCCTTAGATCCTTATGATTGTTTTCACGTCGAAGTTGTGGATCAAATTGTAGGGAAGCCATTCATTGAATCAAGCCTCACAGATCCTATAGAGAATATTGATACTTTTGACGGCACAAACCAAGACCATTGAGGTGATGTACCTCAATGATCCCCCAGATATATGATGGTTGCTGAGTCCGGCTGAAGACTTTAAATTAAGCGATTCTTGGGAGGCAACCCATGTTTTGGATGCATGATGATGATGCGAGGATCTTGGCATTTGCAGCACTTCCTACTCGAGATTATATGCCCAGGGAGCTCTAACCCTTACTCTTTACTCTTTATTATACTGTTTTAATTCTTTTCTCCCTTTGCTTGATTCATTGCATGTATTTTGATTCTTTTTACATTGAGGACAATGTTTCATTTAAGTTTGGGGGGAATGGTTTAGCTTTATTGCTTGTTTTTGTGTTTTGAAAATTTCTAATGTCTGAAAATGCAGGATTTCGTTTTGCTTAAAAACTGTTTTAATTGGTAACTGTGCTGACAATTTGGTCCGCGTTTTGTTCTTTGCTTTTTCGTGCTGAATCTAACCATATAAAGAACGTGAAAATCAGATCAGCAGTTTGAAAGTTATGAGCTAAAATTTGAACAGAGGTCGAACCTGCCAAAAACTGCATTTTGAAACACTTTGTTTTCTTGGTTTGTTTGAATCTTATTTTGTTTCTTTTGTGTTTTTAGGTAGTTATGTACTTAAGTTGTTGTTTTAAAGTCACAAAACCCATAAAAATTCTAAAATTTTCAAAAATCCAAAAAGATTTTCTTTTTTCCTTTTCTTGAGTCATTGTAGTTAAGCTTTCCACAAGTCAATGATAACACTTGAATTCTACTTGTTATATAGCTTTTGAGGATTGGTAATCATTTTGTGAATTTCAAGTGTGATTCTTTAGTTAACTTTCTCTTGCATGAATGTTCTCATATTTTTAATGCACATAGCCAATTTAATGCAATTTGCTTTTGACTTAGAGAATTATATGTGGATTTTAGTGTAGACTTGTATATTATTTTCATGAGAGTTATAAATTCTTTTCATGAGAGTTATATATTCTTTTCATGAGTGTAACTATCATTTACTAGAACTTGCTTCAATATCTTTCAAGGCTTTGTATTGATTCACATGATTCTATCTAGGAAGTGATTAAGGCACCTAGGATTACCACCATGGCCAAACAAGCTTTTGTCCCTACGACATTATCCCTTAGATACCCCCTTTGAGCCTAAATAAGCCTTTTCTTTCATGAACCACACTATCCTTAACCATAAACTTAAACACTTCAACCTACCTTGTTCTATGAAAAATTGGTGGAGCTTTAAGTTTGGGCGATTTGCACCTTACCTTGTGAGTATCAAAGTTATTGTGAAAAGAAAAAAAATAGAAGCAAAGATGAGTTTGAGGTTGGTGTTTGTTATTTTTATTATTAAAAAAAAAAAAAAAAAAAAAAAAAAAAAAAAAAAAAAAAAAAAAAAAAAAAAAAAAAAAAAAAAAAAAAAAAAAAAAAAAAAAAAAAAAAAAAAAAAAAAAAAAAAAAAAAAAAAAAAAAAAAAAAAAACAAGAAAGTAAAAAAATTGTTTTGCTACCTCAATATTGTGAAAGATTGAAGAAGTTTGAGAAATATGTTGATCAAAATGAAGTTGAAGCCCAACAATGAAATTTGGCTTCCAATGAAGTACATAATTGATGATACCGCACGAGATACAAGAGAATTTGCAATCCTTCATGGTCATCATGTGCTCTACTAATTCTCATAGAATATTTTTGTTTTCCATATCCTTTCTTTCTTTTAACCTTAACCCCTAACCTCATTACAACCATAATTTAAGACCTTTTGATCCTAGAAATTGTGTGAATTTAATCTGTGGAGATGTGATATGAAGAGCAAGCTTATAGGATTTGATTTTGTTTTCATGCATTCATTTTATTGAGTGAAACACTTATTTGAGCGTTTTCGTTGTGAGTGACATTCTTGGTGAAGTTTGGAGTTGAAGCTTTGATTTGCATATACCTATCCGGGTTGAGTGAGTTGTATTGATATTGGCTATTTCACACACTACACTTGAGAATGTTATGTACGGTTTTGTTAACTTTTGAATCATGCTTGTGGTTTATATGATGCTTATTTGATTCTTTAGAGTTATATACCTTGTGCGATTTATTGAGACTAATATGTGGAGGCATAACACTCTTTGAGTCTTTGTTTTGTTTTGTTTTGCATGAGGGCAAGCAAACTCTAAGTTTGGGGGTATTTGATATAACCATTATTTCGTGCATTTTTATTATCTTTCTCTTAGATTCTTGCTATGTTCTTGAGTGAGTTTAGTCCTTACTTAGTTTTGTGTTTTACTAGGTTTTAAGAGTAAAGATGGAAAAGCAAGCAAAATGAGCATTTTTTGGGATTGAAAGATGTTTCGCAAGAATGTCCTATGCAGATCAGTCAACTTGACAATACTGTACTTCCTCAGAGCGAACCAGATGTTGAGCCTTATATTGTTGGAAAGATACGGATGTTAGCTTTCTATGGAATTTTGCGGTTTGTGATTTGGACGTGTGTGAAGAGAGTTGTGGCCATTTTAATACAGATAGTGCGGGCAGAATGTGTTCTGCGGGTTTTGCAAAATAATCCATTTGAAGTTCAATCCTTGGAGTCTAATTTATGTCTATTGCATATGGGAAGTGTCTACAAGGATGCAAGGTTATTTTCTATGGTTTGATCCTATATTTTGTAGGATTTTGGATGTCAACTCATCAAAGATAATTGAAGCCAAATTAGGAAAGCTTCGTTACCAAGTCAAAAGAGGATTTGTTCCTTATTTAAAGAAGAGCACAAAATAGGGTTCGTGGATGCTGGAGTTGAAGGAAAGTCAAAGAGCCGCTACCATTGTCAAGTTCTCAAGCTTCATCACAATCCATAAGTTTTATTTTATGTTTTCTAGTTTTTTAATTATGTTTTCTTTGAACATGAGTAACTAAATTATTCTCTAGGGCGAGGATGACGCCCGAGCATGGATAGTTATGATTTTTAATGTGATTTAATTGGTTCTTAGTTTCTATTAGATGAATGTTTAATCACTATTTTAATTGTATGCTTCAACTTGACTGGCCAATTTGATGGCTGCAGATATTGGCATTGAAAAGTAAAGAACCAGTGGAATCTATCAACCTCAACAAAGAGACGGAGGGCTCTTGCAGCAACAGAAGTGAAAACAACTCAGATATCAAGTTGGACATTTCAAGAACGCCAGCTATCGACAGCCCTCAAGCTATCGACAGAACCCTCTTTTCATCCTCTCTAATAAGACCTGGGAGTGGCACAGCTCTTTCAAAACACATCAAGGCCTGAAGTAATCCAATGCCAGAAGATTGATCACATGGTCAAAGAAGAAAGCTTGACCAACATGTTCTGTGGCATTGATGATCAATCTGCAGGGTTTTGGCCATGGTTAGAAACACATCAATTCAATTGAGCCGAACCCACCGAAGTGTTAAATTCAGCCAAGCCAAAATTACCATGTTTCTATATTGAGTTTTTAATTAAAAGATTCCATGTTTTGGTACTTAGATTAAATATCAAGTTCAATTTTCAAGTAGGGGCTGGAAATCTTTATGGACGAATCAATAAAGAGGTATGTCATATGTGTCTTTGAACTAGATACCATGTTTTCTAGAGGAGATGGGGAGAAATGTTTGCCTTACCAGATTGGTTAAACTTAATGGGATAAAAAATCCAGAGAAATTGAATTACATTTGGTAGCTAGTGACTAAATGTTACAGCTCCTAGCATGGGCCATGAAATAAAAAAGGGATTCTCGCCTTCAGTTGTCTGTTTTTTTTCTTACTTTGGCATCATGCCTTTGTACTGTCTCAAAGATAAATGCTTGCAAGTGCCTTAACAGGCGCCAAGGGCATGGTATGAGGAAATAAACTCATATCTCATTGACTCTGGATATATAAGGAGCTCTAGTGAAGCAACCCTTTATTGCCAAAGAGAACTATGGAACACTTATTGTTTCAATTTACGATGATGATATTGTGTATACAGGAAGCAGTGAAGAATTGATTGCTGAATTCAAGTCTGAAATGATAAGAAGGTATGAAATGATTGACTTGGGTCTTTTGTATCATTTTCTTGGTATGGTTGTGATTCAAACTGAAAAGAGCATTTTCATAAGTGAAAAGAAATATGCTTTGACACTGTTGAGCAAGTTTGGCTTAAAGCAATGCAAGCCTATTAGTACTCCTTTGGTGGCAAGTGAAAAACTTTGCAAAGATGATGGCAGTAAGCCTACTGATGAGAATGAATATGGGTAGATTGTGGGGAGTTTGCTGTACCTGACAGCCACAAGGCCAAATATAATGTTTGTAGCTAGATTTATGCATTGTCCTACCAAGAAGCATTATGGAACAGCTAAGAGGGTCTTGAGGTACATACAAGGAACTATCAATTATGGCATTGATTATTAGAAGGGAAAAGTGGTTGTATTAATTGGATATTGTGATAGTGACTGTAGTGGATATATTCTCCTTTGGCAGTGGTGAGTCAAACAACGTAGTGTTGCTCTCTCTACAGCTAAAGCTGAATATCTCAGTGCGAGTGAAGCTACTACTCAGACCATATGGTTACGTTTTGTGCTGGAGGACTTTGGAGAATTGCAGACAGAAGCAACTCCATTGATGGTAGACAATACCTCTACCATTGCAATCACCAAAAATCCCGTGTTTCATCAAAAGACAAAAACACATCAATCGCAGGTATCATTTCATTCGTGAAGCTTTGCAAGGAGTTAATAGATTTGAGATACTGCAAGTTTGAGGAGCAGGTAGTTGATATATTCACAAAAGCACTACCAAAGGATCGATTCAACTATTTGAGACGATTGTCTTTAGCTAGACAAGCGTAGGGCTTAGATTAGACCACATGGTGTGTCTTATTTGTTCATTTCTCAAATATTCTAGACTATTCTAGATTCAAATGTGCATTACTGTTCAACACTCCTCCTTAATGCACATTTGTGTTATATTGCTAGATATTCTGATCTTTGTTGATGTCATATTCTTTGCGCCTGCTGATAATTGAGCTGCAATCTCTGTCTTCCGGTTATTGCCACTGCTATTGATATGCCAATTTGTGTTGTCTTTTTCTGATGGTGCTGGACATGCATAGAACACAAGCTCGTACTTATCATTTTCTTATATGTAGTTAGCTTGATATTTTTTCTTGAATCGACAATCTTTTTCTATATGCCCAAATCTTTTATGTATTTCATCTTTTCCAAGTATCCAACTCAATAATCAAATTATCATCCCAAGTCAGTGATTAGAACAATACATGCAACTATGTCTTTCTTGCTACAACTTTTTTTTCCCTTCTTTTGGTGCTTTGTTGGTTTGTTTTCTAGTTATTTACGTGTTGCAACTACTGACTGTTGATTCTCTTCTTGACTGCTTTTGTTGGGCTTCAATATATTATCTTTTTTTCTTAATTATATATATATATATATGCAAATTATATTGTCTATATTGTCTAT